CACGCGTTACCATCTTTTATTAAAAAAAAACTATATACATTTTATTAAAAACTTGACGGTAACGCGTGGTAACGCGTTGCTTTATCAACAAAATACCATAATGAATAGATTTACTAGGCGTTAACGCGTATGGTTATCTGAGATAACGCATGGAAATGCATTGTTTTAGTAATAGAAAAGCCAAATAGACAATTAGTACATGGTAACGCGTATGGTAACGCGTGGTAACGCGTGGTAATGTGTTCTGTTCGTAATAGAAAAGCCATATTATAAAACTATTAGTACATGGTAACGCATGTGGCAGTGCGTGGTAACACGTTGCTTTAGTAATTTATATTTCAAAAGCCATATTAAACATTAGTTTATGGTAACTTGAATAAATTAAAACTTTGACCCCACCAAGTCATCAAAAATTAATTAAAAAATGCTTATAGTTTCATCAACATTCAATTATCCATTAATTAACTTGAGTAACTAAAGTATTATTAATCCATGTGAAGTTATAGGACTTAATCTAAGAACTATGCACGGTTAATTCTCTAACTTAACGGACCGATCCAAGGATGTACTCTACAGCCATCCCACCTCCCTCCCCCACCCCATCCGGCTCAGAAGAAGACTTGGTATGGTACCATTATACAACGTAGAGATCTTTGTATGGGCCTAACAATACTATCCAAATTATAGTGAATAGTAAGACGCTTCTATTACTTCACAAAAATTCCTTAAATATTTAATCCTTGCCCCCACAGCTCTGGGAACTAAATTCTCCTCCCCCCCCTCCCTCCCCACGCCCACAGCTATTGTGCCACACATAACATGATTTCAAATAACTTCGAGCTGCTGTCATCTAAGTTTTCTTAATTTCTAATATAATCGTCTACCAAACATATAGTGATATTTCTTGGATCTCTCCCCCATTTCTTTTATATCTCCCCCCCCGGTCAACTTGGCAGTACTGTACTATTCTACGTGTGAACAATAACCCCAATAGTATCATCTACAGTGACTACTACACATGCACACAATGTGATTTCAAAAAAACTTCGAGATGCTATTAAGTAAGTCTTATCAATTTTTAAGACAATCGTCCACAAAATATATTGAGACTTTTTAAATCAATCCCCTCCCCCCTTATTTCAATGTTGAAACCTACTGTATTTATCCAAAACGAACATAAGGTGACACTAGCACCGCAACTGTGTCACTGTTAGTTGAAATTTAACATATGATGTTGGAATTAAACTATATTGTAGTGCCTAACAACATTGAAATCGGGGGAGGGTGTTTGTCTCAAATATTTTGTGGACGATTGTCTGAAAATTGGGGAAAATCGAGCGCAGGTTTTGGCTATTTACTGCATAATATTTTCATTGGCAGCGCTTATGTTAATGTTAACGAACAAAATTTGCATAACATATTTGGACTACATAGTATACATGCCGGTATACAAGTATTATATTATGCGATAGTTCTCCAAGTTAAGTTAAAATCCATACCTTACGGGCATCTAACGTTCCTTCGCAAGCTTGCCTTCGATTCGAAAAAGATATATCGATAATGGAGAATGAATATCATGCAACCATCACAAATCAAGATTTTTCTATTTTAAAGTACTATGTAAATTCAAAAACAACGCCAACATGTAAACAACCTCGTTCCCAAACTGGAAATTAGCCATTCAGATTAGTTTAATTAATGTATATGCATGGGCTACCTGTTTTCGCTCCAAATTCAAATTTTAACAACGCGTTACCACGCGTTACCACGCGTTACCATACGTGTTACCACTAATATCAAACAGTTATTATTGCTACAATAAAACTTCCGCAATAAAAGTTCATTTCTAATGGTTCAAAACTACAAGATCGATATGCAAGTAATGACTAACAACGCGTTACCATGAGTTGCGCACGCGTTACCACGCGTTACCATCTTTTATTTAAAAAACTACTATATACATTTTATTAAAAACTTGACGGTAACGCGTGGTAACGCGTTGCTTTATCAACAAAATACCATAATGAATAGAATTACTAGGCATTAACGCGTATGGTTAACTCAGATACCGCATGGAAATGCCTTGTTTTAGTAATAGAAAAGCCAAATAGACAATTAGTACATGGTAACGCGTATGGTAACGCGTGGTAACGCGTGGTAACGCGTGGTAATGTGTTCTGTTCGTAATAGAAAAGCCATATTATAAAACAATTAGTACATGGTAACCCATGTGGCAATGCGTGGTAACACGTTGCTTTAGTAATTTATATTTCAAAAGCCATATTAAACATTAGTTTATGGTAACTTGAATAAATTAAAACTTTGACCCCACCAAGTCATCAAAAATTAATTAAAAAATGCTTATAGTTTCATCAACATTCAATTATCCATTAATTAACTTGAGTAACTAAAGTATTATTAATCCATGTGAAGTTATAGGACTTAATCTAAGAACTATGCAGGTTAATTCTCTAACTTAACGGACCGATCCAAGGATGTACGCTACAGCCATCCCACCTCCCTCCCCCACCCCATCCGGCTCAGAAGAAGACTTGGTATGGTACCATTATACAACGTAGATATCTTTGTATGGGCCTAACAATACTATCCAAATTATAGTGAATAGTAAGACCTCTTCTATTACTTCACAAAAATTCCTTAAATATTTAATCCTTGCCCCCACAGCTCTGGGAACTAAATTCTCCTCCCCCCCCTCCCTCCCCACGCCCACAGCTATTGTGCCACACATAACATGATTTCAAATAACTTCGAGCTGCTGTCATCTAAGTTTCCTTAATTTCTAATATAATCGTCTACCAAACATATAGTGATATTTCTTGGATCTCTCCCCCATTTCTTTTATATCTCCCCCCCCCGGTCAACTTGGCAGTACTGTACTATTCTACGTGTGAACAATAACCCCAATAGTATCATCTACAGTGACTACTACACATGCACACAATGTGATTTCAAAAAAACTTCGAGATGCTATTAAGTAAGTCTTATCAATTTTTAAGACAATCGTCCACAAAATATATTGAGACTTTTTAAATCAATCCCCTCCCCCCTTATTTCAATGTTGAAACCTACTGTACTTGTCCAAAACGAACATAAGGTGACACTAGCACCGCAGCTGTGTCACTGGCAGTTGAAATTTTACATATGATGTTGGAATAAAACTATATTGTAGTGCCTAACAACATTGAAATCGGGGGAGGGGGTTTGTCTCAAATATTTTGTGGACGATTGAGGGTTGAGTGTATTTTGAGTAGGGGTGCACCGGATTTAAAATCCGGTCGGAATTCCGGCCGGATTTAACAAATTTTCCGGAATCCGGCATCCGGCCGGATTTGGAGAAAATCCGGCCGGATTTAAATTTGTGTTTTCACCTTAAAAAATTCACCAAGAATGGGATAAGCCATCAATTTGGCAGCTTTAAAGTTTAAAAAACACTTATATTATTATAAAATATGAAGTTATTAACAAAAAGATATTTAAAAAAGGTTTTAAACACGATCAAAAATCTAAACTGACACTAACTAAAAATAGTAAAAAACATAAACCGCCATTTTGAATACTGATTTATCCCAATTTATCCCCAATTGTCCCCATTACTGGTTTATCTCAAATCCGGCCGGAATTTCGGCCGGAATTTTTGTCCAAATCCGGTAAATCCGGTTCCGGCCGGGTTTGAAAATTCCAAATCCGGTGCACCCCTAATTTTGAGTTGTTCAAAGACTTCCGCTTTTTGTCCAGCAAACCCGGCACGCGGATATATTTTGGGCGAATTTTGTTATTCCCTCACCGATTTCAGAGCGAATTTAAAGTCTTTGATTAAAGCATCGTTGTTTTGAGAGTTATACGGTATCATTCTTGCAGGAGATATCGATTAATCGTGAAAGAAATGCATTAAAGCCGAAAAATCGAGGATAGTTTCGCATGACATATGCCAAGTCTGGGCTATTTTGGTCTCAATGTTTCCTTCCTTCCCTCGTTATAAGGAAGGCACAGGCGGGCGCGGGCAAATCGAGCCTGGGCCTCCTGTGTGCGAAGTACAAAAAATAAGTTCTACGACATATTAATGCAACACTGTATAAATTCTCAACCCTAACTTCAGCGCATCTAGCTACACCTATGATAATATTAATGTCAACCTTTGAAAATATTGTCTTTACCAGTACTTGAAGGTCCAGACACACTGAACGCAATTCGACAACACAACTTTCTTTCGATTTTCAATGACCGATAACTTTGATCCTAGTTTAAACTTTCTAAATATTCAGAAGCGTTATAACATTTTACTAAGTCTACATATGTTTTAAAATTTGCTTTATTAATTTGGTTTATTAACTTTCAAAAACTAAAAAATCTCTTTGTTGACTGTTGTGTTGTCGAGCTGAAAAAATTTCAGCAATAGCCCCACCCCTGGAATTAGGAAAGCTGCGAAAGCACAGAATAAGGTACACAGAAGGCTGACTTCTTGGTTTTTCCTATGATTTTCCTATGATTTTGGCGTAACCCATAATTCGTCATCAAATGCTGACGTCATGGTCGCAGCCAGTGTGTGTTTGAGAGGCATTCACCCCCTGATAATATTCAAAATGGCGGACGTCCAGGGGGGAATGCCTCTCAAACGCACACTGGCTAGGACCATAGCGTCAGCATTTTGATGATGAATCATGGCATGGCAGCGGTTACTCGAGTCGACCTGCTGTGTGCCTTATTCTGTGGCAAAAGCCTGGGGGGGGGGAGAGGGTGTACACTGCTGGAATTGACTGATACATTTATACTAATACTGTAATGCACCTATCATTGTTTTCCCCCTGAGGGGGGG